TTTAAAAATGAAAAATGAACCCCCCTTTTGTTTCCGTTACCATTTTAATACGCGGAAGGTTGTTTACGTAGCAGTTACAAGAACCTACCGTGCATTTTGTTGAAATCAAGTTCCAATATCTGTGTGGTGTGTATTTTGTTGAAACTGAATCAAGTTCCAACATCTGTGTGGTGTGTATGTGTCTCTCTCTGGTTGTTCTGTCTCTCTCTCTCTCTCTCTCTCTCTCTCTCTCTCGCTCTCTCTCTCTCGCTCTGTCTCTAAATCTCTGACATCCTTTTGTTGTAAGTAGTGGGGGGAGTTAACTTCAACAAAGCTGAAATCCTTGTATTCCGTAATGGTGAAAGGCCACAAAATATTGAAAACGGCGTACAACAAAACTCACTCACTCACTAGACCCGGTGCGGTAATGAAAAAATGTGTGCAGCAAAACAACTTGTTTCTAGGAATTTCAACTTGCAGCCACGTACAGATATATAAATAGAGTGAGACACTTTTTGTAAAATTCATTTTTATTAATCATATGAGAAATATTTTGTCAGACAGACAGACTCTGGTACTTGTGAAGGATAGATTATTGTGCTGTTTCTTTATAGCAATGTTCTTCTGAAACCGAAACAAAATCGTGTAGAAGCAGAGGAACATTATTTTGGTCAAAGGTGTTACGTTGTATCACATTTCTGATGATAATCAAAAGTTGTACTTTAATGTTTTATTATACTGAACATAACTCATCTTGTCACAAACCTAATAACATGTTCGCACAAACGCGTGTCATTGCATGTTGTAAAATCTTACAAATGTACATGCTGATAGAATAAAGTAAGGGAACACAATAAGCAGACAATTGCCCTGCTGTGTCACTGGATGGAAAGTCAGTGGTGTGCTCATTGTTGAGTACCTTTGAGTGAAAAGATAGTGTTTAATTTTCACTTTTTAGCTGTTGGGTGAAAATATAGGATTCAATGTTGACTTTGCCACATTGTAAGTGGATAGTATTTAATGTACCTTGTCACTGAGTGAAAGTGGTATTAGATGTTGATTGTGCCATGAAGTGACAGTTTATGTCCATGTTCACGGTTGTGTCAGTAAGAGAGATGTGAGTCATTACTGTTCACTGTTATGTCTTCGAGTGTATAGTAATTGTTCTTTCAGTTTCACAGAGTGAACTGTTAGAATTCTGTTGCATGATAGGGTAGTGCTTGGTGCATTGCACTCTTTTCCAAAATAAACACTTGATATTTGTCGATTTACTTACGGTATGAGCTCAGCAGTATGGCGGAATGTCGAAGACAGTGATGTCCCTGATGCCAGGGTAGAAGTCGTTGTACCCGACATTGTAAAAAGAGTTTCCCCCTGATGAATAAGAAAATATTTCATAGTCAGAAAAAATTGCCTTGTTGTTTTACGAGACAGTGAGTAATATGTGAGTTGCATCACGGCTGCCTGTAAATAATTCGCAGTATGATGCCACACTGCTAGTCATGTCACCGTGAAAGACCATTCGAAAGTAGCCCGTTGGAACAAGGAATTCCTGTTCATGAAACATATATGCAGATATCACGTTTCTGTTTCATAATGTTTTCATACTTCACGATCTTTAGAAATGTCCTGTTTTATAATGCAAAAGCTACATCCCACAAACTCTTACGAGCAGTGGTATAGGTGTTTCATGCCACCCCAATTATGCATATATCACAGCAATACGACATTTCTCTCTTCATAATATCTATCAAACCCGTTATATAGTTTTCTTTCGAAAAGAATTCTGCTAGAGGTCTTGACATCACGATTCAGAGTGAGTGAGTTTAGCTTTACGCCGCACTTAGCAATATTCAAGCTGTATGGCGGCAGTCTGTAAATAATCGAGTCTGTACCAGACAATCCAGTGATCAACAGCATGAGCATCGATCTGCTCACGATTCTGAAACTACTCGGGCAATTCAATATCCACAACTGTCAACAGTGGAGGCCTTTTATTTTTGCGATTCGAACCTGGTCATTTAACTTCATTGCCAAGATTAAGAAAGATATGTTATTCAGAAACCTTCGCTCAGGGAATAAAGTTCTGATTTTGATGAGATTGGTTCAAAGCCGATCTAACAGCTCGCTCAGTCTGTCGAAATAATATTCAAAACGACATGAAATCACACTCATCTTTTAAGCGCTGCAGACGTTCTGATCCACTGCTCAAAGCGGACATTTTTGCACTTGATCACTCATCCATTCACTAAACCCGTGAAGAACCGGGTTAGAATTGGCCATCAGTAACCCATACTTGTCGTAAAAGGCGACTAACGGGATCGGGTGGTCAGGTTCACTGATTTTGTTGACACATGTCATCGTATCCCAGTTGGTTAGATCGATGCTCGTGTTGTTGATCACTGGATTGTCATGAGGCCATTGGGGTGGTCCGTGGGGTAATGTCTAAACGACAAGTGGCTGCATATTTCCACTGCCACCGGAACACCATTTCTGCACTGGTGAGACGCTACCAGAACACAAATGACGTCATCGATCGGCCACTTTCTGGACGTCCACGTGTAACAACGCCAAGACAGGACAGATGGATAAGGGTGACCCATCTTCGCCACAGGTTTCAGACTGCAGTGATGACTGCCCGAACCATCCCAGGACTTCGCCGTATCCACCCCAACACAGTTCGACAACGTTTACGTCATCACGGGATCAGACCACGACGTCCCGCCATACGGCCTATCTTGACACAACGTCATCGACAAGCTCGCCGAATGTGGTGCCGAGATCATGTCCGCAGACCCTTGTTTTGATGGAGAAATGTTGTTTTTACAGATGAGTCCAGGTTTAACATTTCCCATAGTGATGGACGTCAACGTGCCTATAGACGCGTGGGAGAACGTTATGCACAGGTCTGTGTCTTGGAGTGGAATCGCTTTGGTGGTGTTTCCGTGATGATTTGGGGTGGAATAACAGTACGCCAAAGAACTCCTTTGGTGATTGTTCAGGGCAACTTAACTGGTGTGGGCTACAGGGATCAGATTCTTCGACCTGTGGCAATTCCTTTTCTGAAACGTCATGGCCCTGTGTTAACATTCCAACAGGACAATGCCCGCCGTCATACGGCAAGGGTTGCTATGGATTTCTTGCAACACCACAACGTTGACTTACTGCCTTGGCCTGCAAATTCAACTGATCTCTCCCCGATAGAGCATGTTTGGGACGAGATGGATCGCCGTCTACGCCGCCTTCCTCATCCGCGAGATAACGTCCTTGACCTTGCAACAGAACTTGAGAGAATCTTGCGTGACATCCCACAAGCCTTCCTTGCACGTTTGATAAGCTCTATGCATCGTCGATGCACTGCTGTTCTCAATGCCGATGGTGGACATACCCGTTATTGAGCTTGTGACATGGTCGTTTGACCCCTGTCCCGCTTGTGGACTCGTGACGTCATTGTGATTGACTTTTCAATTGAAATTCTCCCGACTTGTTATGGTCTCATGATCCCTCCATTAAAGTTTATATGTACCTTTGACATTGTTATCGTACTTATCAACTGGGATAATATTTTGACAATGCATTTTCGTTATGTGGCTTGTATATTTGTAACATTTGTATATATTTTACAATAAAATTAAAACCATTGCTTGTCAGGCTCGCTGTCTTGGTTGACACATATATTCGTATCCCAAATGTGTAAATCGATGATCATGATGCTGATCGCTAGATTGTCTGGTCCTACCTCGCCTATTCACAGACCACCGCCATATTGCTGGGATATTGCTGAGTGCGGCTTTAAACAACAAACAAACGAAACTGAGACACCTGTAACGCCATTCTATTCGTAAACGTTCCATTATACTGATGTTTGTCATTTGATAATTATGTTCAAACAACATTCACTTAAATAAACTGTACTGCTTTTTTCTTATTTGAACAAGTGAATTATTTTGAATTTGTCGGAAAACATATCACTTGTGAGGGGAGCGAGGCTCCAGTCCTTAAAGGTAATAGAGCTGAATGGCGGTGGGGTAGCCTACTGGTTAAAGCGTTCGTTGTTCACGCCGAAGACCCGGGGTCGATTCTCCACATGGTTACAATGTGTTAAGCATATTTCTGGTGTCCCTCGCTGTCGTATTGCCGTAATATTGCTAAAAGCGGCGTAAAACTAAACTCACTATAGCCGAAGCGACAATGAAAAAATATTCATAGAAAAGTTCACATCCGGAATCTCAACTTGCAGCCATGTTGGGAAATATAAATAGAGTGAGACACTTTTTCTAAAATTCATTTTTATTTATCATATGAAAATCATTTTGTCAGACAGACAGTCTTTGGTACTTGTGAAGGATAGATTATAGTGCTGTTTCTTTATAGCAATGTTCTGAAACAGAAACAAAATCGTGCAGTAGCAGAGGAACATTATTTTTGTCAGAGGTGTTATGATGTATCACATTTTTGATGATAATCAAAAGTAATACTTTAATGTTTTATTATACACAGACATTATACATTGCGTGTCATAACATGTTGTAAAATCTTAAAAATGTACATACTGATTGAATGAAGTAATGGAAAACAACAACCAGACAATTACCCTGCTGTGTCAATGTTATTGTTGAATGTACCTTTGAGTGAGGAGATAGTGTTTAAGCTGGACCGTTTAGCTGTTTGGTGAAATGATAGAATTTAATGTTGATTGTGGCACTGAGTGAAATGTTCGTATTTCATGTTGACTGTGCCACATAGTAAATGGATAGTGCCTGATGTCATCTCTTCCACTCAGTGAAAGGCTGGAATTTGATGTTGATTGTGTCGTGAAGAGAAAGTTTATGTCCATGTTCACGCTTGTGTCAGTACGAGAAATGTGAGTCATTACTGTTCACTGTTATGTCTTCGAGTGAATCATAGTAATTTGATTTTCAGTGAATGAACTGTTAGTATTCTATTGAAGGATTGGGTAGTGTTTGATGCACTGCATTTTTTTCCAAAATAAACACTTGATATTTGTCGATATACGTACAGTATGAGCTCAGCAGTATGACGGAATGTCGAAGACAGTGATGTCCCTGATGCCGGGATAGAAGTCGTTGTACCCGACAGTGTACAGAGAGTTTCCTCCTGATGAGTAAGAATATATTTTACAGAGGCAATTTTGCCTTGACGCTTTACGAGACAGTGAGTAATATAAGAGTTGCACCATCTGATCACGTCACCGTGAAAGAACATCCGACTAATTTGGGGGTCCTATTTCAAAAGTGACCAGCTGGAATGAGGAATTCCCGCTCGTGAAATATATATGCAGATTTCACGTTCTGTTTCATATTGTTTACATACTTCACAATTATAAAAAAATGTCGGGTTTTATAAGGCAAAAAGTACATCCCAAATAACAGAATAATCAGAAAAATCAAAATACAAGTCCTTCTGTTATTCCCTTTGCCTTTTCCTGTGTAGAATTGGAGGTCGTTTAATATGTCTTCAACAGAACTCGTACGAGCTGTGGCATAGGTGTTTCATGCCACTCCAATTATATATATGTTACAGCGATACATTATTTCTCTCAGCATACGATCTATCAACTTCTTTATATAGTTCTCTTTCAAAAAGATTTCGACTAGACGCCTTGACCATCACGATTCTGAAATGACTGGGCTAATTCAATATCCACAAAAGTCAGTATTGGAGGCCTTATATGTTTTCGATTCGAACCTGGTTATTTTACTTCATTGCCAAGATTCAGAAAGATATGTTGTTCAGAAACGTTCGCTCAATCGTACCCAGGATTAAGAGTTCCAACCACTCAGGTGATTATATGGGAATAAAGATCTGATTTTGATGACATTGGTTCAAACCGATCTAAATGCTCACTCAGTCTGTCCGAATTAAGCTGTGACATATTCGAAATAATGCTCGACCCATGAAGATCCGGGTTAGAATTCGTCTTCAGCAACCCATGCCTGTCGTAAGAGGCGACTAACGGGATCGGGTGGTCAGGCTCGCTGACTTGATTGACAAAATGTCATCAACACACAAGCCCTTCAACCAACCAGCCAACCACTCAATAGCCTGGCACTCACTTACTCGACTCCACTCTCTCTCTCACCCATACTAACCTGCACCTCCAGTTGTTGTTCTGCTGATGATTATTGGTACACAGTCAGCCTCTGAGACGACAACCGTGACCCTCTGACGCCCACCATCGAGGGCGGTGCTGTTGTAGGTGTACGTCTGTGTATTCAGCCTGTCCTTATTGTAGCCATAAAAGAAAGGACCTATCGGGGCAGCGCCACCTGAGATCAAACATAGTTTTAGATAAGAAGTGACTATTTCAAAGAAGGGGTCTGCAAGGAGTACAAAATCACGAACATACTTTAAAGGTAATATCGAATATTTACTATGGTTAGAATTGGTCTTCAGCAGCCCATGCTTGTCTAAAGACACGACAAACAGGACCGGGTGGCCAGGGTTGTTGACTATCCTAATTGCATAGGTCGATGCTCATGATGTCAATCACTCGGTTGTCAGGTCCAGACTCGATTATTTACAGACCACCGTCATATCTCTGGAAATTTGCTGAGTGCGGCGTAGCACAACTACAAACAAACTTCTTATGAAAACCAGTTGATACAAATTCAATGAATGTGTTTATCGCCAGCAAAACGGATATGTTCTTATAGCCTACATTGCAGTTTTCATTCTTTCTGTAACCTAGTTCTTAGGCAGTTGGAAGGGCTTGCCTTCACGTCCAAACGGAAAAAAGTGTTTGCATGATTTATTTGTACAGGGATAATATGTAAACACATATATTGGCCAACATTTTCCATACTGCCAACGTATCTAAACGATGAAAATGCATACATAAACATCCAAATAGTGTTGTTTGCGGTGTAAAACAGTATGCACTCACTATCGAATCGATCCCGTTATTTAGATCTTGGTAGTACCAGATAATGGATTTCCGTGACATAGAAATATCATATGTGAGATGATTTTTCGACCTTCTGAAACAATTTAATGCGGCCAATTCCAGTTCTATACAACACTATGTAATTGTATCACGAATTCGAGATAAACAGTCAAATGTACGTGTATTCATATAGTAAGGACGTTGGTGCGAGATATCGCATATTTGCAGTTTTGTGAAACGAAATGAAAGGGTTTGACCACACTTTTGAAGTCCTTTCCCAGTATAATGTGTCTAAACGGGGTAACCACTTCAAGCTGCGGCAAGGTGCGCACTCTCGTGAAGAGTCGCGAATAGGTTAGCGATGTTTTAGCAAAACAGAAGCGGCCTGTAAATAATTTAATCTTGACCCGGTAAACCAGTGGTTGATAGCGTGAAGACATATCAGTATATCTAAACTTAAAGTTCACCGACCGTTATTAGTCGACTCTTGTGACCGTTATTGGTAAATATGGGCTTCCTCTGTTTGAAGCCAATCGAGGGAAGATCTTTCAAACATTTGTCGATATATTTTAAAATGACTTACTTGGAACACAGACATTCTGCTGATCCTCGAAATTTCCCTGGAGGGGGAATGTTGTACAGGTGCGTGCTTCTGCATCAATACTGTAAGCTTTTCTCTGCAAATATGGAAATTATAAAGTAATGTCTTCGTGTCTTGTACCTATACTCATCATTATAAATACGAAGACCTGGATGTCTATGGTGACAATAGTTAAGAGCATGGAGACTTAACCTCTCATGAAAACAAGGCATGAAAGAATGATGCACAGAATCGAACTTCTTTGTCTAAGTCCACTCAGTCACCATGACATTATTCTATTATGGATCCAGTCGCAGAGCACTCTGGGGGTCTTCCTTACCTGTTTGTAGTCGTAGATTACTTTGGTGGTACTGAGAAATTGGTTGTTGCTGCGATCGCCGGTGATGAGGTATCTTTGGTTGATACCGTCATAGATGATGTAGTACAAGGCCTGAAAATATGCAAAATAGGGCGAGAGGTTTTGAATTGTCAGTGTGGAAGGATTTGAAAAAAGACAATATTTATTGTATCTCAAATCCAGCAAGACAAAAATGTTAATGTACATGCAAATTCAGAAGCAGACGCTTCAGCGCCATTTCTGGAAAACCCAAACATCGAAGTATACCGTTGTTGTTGGTCTGGTGCTGAAACCTCGAGCAAGATAAATGAACCCCTAACAGACTGAAGATTTTGCATTACCGCTTCAGTGATACTTAGATGTTACTGCTGGTTTTGAAAATATGCAAGGAATTCAAACCAGGCCCATGCTAGCAAATAGTTTTATCAGCACTTCAATTTAAACAATATCAGAATCCCAGTGCAAGGATCCCTTGAAACAGGAGCTCCTATACCTCCAGGTATCTTCCTAAAATAGCAGTTGACACTTCTGATGTTATATCCAATAAAAACATTCAAAACCGAAAGCCAACTTACTTTATGATAATTCCAAGCGATTCCGCTTGACTGGCTAGACAATCACGTGCTTGAATATTTATAGTTTGAAACACACGGACGGACGTTATGATATTATAAAATAATTTTGTCGCAGGTTTTACTTGAAAAGAAAATACTGGATGCCCAGTAACAAACTAAGTTTGCTGCTCTCTTCACAATATAAAAGAGAGAAAACAAAAAAGAAACACCTATTGTTTTCTACTCAGATAGGTAATGCATCATGGCATGGCATTTTAAATATATGTTATAGCCCTGTGCGGTGTTTCTTAAGTACCTTGATAATTACCTTGTTTTCTTTGTTACACTCAGTATATATACTTTGCCACCAATGTGTGCTACATTCCTGCTTGACAACGGTACACGAATCTGTATCGAAACGTCACACTCTCGTAATAAAGTTTGTCAATTGTATTACAAATCTACCATATCAAATTGTGTGCCATCACAGAAGGACATCAGAACTGTAAAACATTTGAAGTGTACGCTGCCACTCACCCCTCTCTGTAACCCACAAGAGGTCAGCCCAACACGACATATAATCAGAATTAGTTCAGAATTAGTAAAAGAATTTCTTCCTGTATGGTTTAGTTTGTAGGAATAATTTGTATCTAATATATACCAAAGAGATATGTCAATTGTCACAGGACATTAAGTAAGAATTTAAGAAAAAATAATGAGGAACCCGCTTTTGAAGCTTAAAAGAAAACGTAGTATTTATATTGTATTGTCGTAAATTTTTACCTCTACTCTAGGCTTCAGAGTTTTAACAACGTGAAAACTTGTATGTATTTAAGTAACACGTTAATTAGAAGGTTTCTGAAGAGATTGTATCAATATGATTTTAATTGTTTGGTTTCAGCAAAGGCATTCCGGTTTCAGCCCCCCCAAACCCTTAGCATGTATGGAAAGGATAGAGTGGTTACATGTAACAACAATAGTTGACGGGTTCTGTACTTACCTCAATAGTGGTCGTGGAGTTGACAAAGTTGACATACTGAAATGCGTTAAATTGCTTGGGTGGACAACATATGCTTCCTCTTGCAACAGACAGCCCAGCGAGGAGTAGTGCTACTTGTAGAATCATTCTGGAATGGTATCGTTGGAGATGTACCTGTGCCCAATCCTGCAGAAGCGCCCCGACGAATGAAGCTCGAATCGGTCTCTCTTTTATCCTCACAGAAGAGTGTCACGTGATGCACCTCCAGAACTAAGATGACATGTTTATGAAACATGTAGATTCTCAGAACATATGTAAAATCTTAGTTTTTTTCTAAAACATGAAATAGGCTTTTGACGTTTAGTTGATTAATTCATTCTTGTAAAACGTTTGTGTTGGATGGAAACACCATTTAAAAATGACCCCCCTTTTGTCTGTTGTGCTCTCTGTCCACTAATTGTCTATTCTGTGACTGGGATTCGTGGTTAACGAGTAGGATCGCCTTCCGACGGCTCGGGCTTTCCGGTATAATATCAATGAATGGTCTGCTATATGAAGACTCGGTTGAACATTTGAAACATTTATAACATGTGCTTCACACAATACATGTATGTGAAAACCTGTGGGTCTCAGGTTGACGTGCGAAGGTGCGAGGCACATTAGGGTATAAGTTTCAGTGCACTAGAGTTTTCTGAACTGATTTAAATGATAACAGTTCTAAAATAACTTTTCCTGACATGGCAAGACGTAAACCTTCCGAAAATATAAAATGAGTGGTTATTGCAGCTTATCTGCATATGGCGTTTCCAATGGCCAAAGCTGCGCATGTCCGTGATTGTGTGGTGTTGTGTTTGGTGTAAGTGCAAGCTGGATCGAATGAGAGTACCTGGGACAATCAATTGTCAACCTTATCAACAGGAAGTACTGGATGCTGTCGTTGTGCAAAATATGTATCCGTTACCAATTTTATGCGTGGAAGGTGGTTTACACATGCACATCTATGCATGGAGTGCACCAATCGATTGATGAAGGCTATTTGCACCTTTAACCACACTCTGAGAAAGGTCTGGCGCAATAAATGGGTTGTGTTCGGCCTCGGTATGACATTATTCAGTCTCCTCTGAATTTCATCCCATAGATGTTCAACTGGGTTTAAATTAGGACTAAGGGCTGGCCACTGCATAATGTTGACACCGTTCTTCTGTAGGAAGTCCCGTGTAGCTCTGGCAGTATGGGCCCTGGCGTTATCATGCTGGAAAATGCTGTTCCGGTGACGTGCGAAATGTGGTATGACGTGGGGTCTGAGAGCTTGGTCGATGTAGCGCACCGCTGTGATGCCGCCTCCTCTCCCTGTTCTGGAACAACACAGGACCCACTCTCTGGTTCAGGCCTATTCCACTCCATACCATGATGCTTGCAACTCCCCATGAGTCTCTTTCCATAACACATTGGTCTGAGTAACGCTGGCCACGTCTTCGCCATATTCTTGTTCTGCCATCTGCAGTTAACAATCTTTGACACAATAACAGTTCTTAACAAAGTCATGGCGGGCTACCGTTACACAATGGGAGCAGAATGTCTGGTTTGGTTTGGTTTGGTTTGTTGTTTAACGCCGCACTCAGCAATATTCCAGCTATATGACGGCTGTCTGGACCAGACAATTCAGTGATCAACAGCATGAACATCGATGTACGCAAATGGGATACGCTGAAGTATCAACTAACGGGATCGGGTGGTCAGACTGGGTTGACACATGTCATTGTATCCCAATTGCGCAGATCGATGCTCATGCTGGTGATCACTGGATTGTCTGGTCCAGACTCGATTATTTACAGACCGCCGCCATATAGCTGGAATATTGCTGAGTGCGCCGTAAAACTACACTCACTCACTCACTCACTCACTCATGCACTCACTCTAGTTATGTTTCAAGCAGAGAATGTTTTTGCCTGTTTGACTTGTCACCCTTATTATGATGAATGAACCAAGCATCGTAGATCATTTTGTCACTGCATACATTTGAGAAATGACCAGCATTGATTTACCACAATACATGTTGCAAAATAGTATTGTTTTACTCTTCATCCTTCAAGTATCAAGGCAGGGAAAACACGAACTACCCGGTACCCCCATTCATGCTTCTCACAGTACAAATCGAACCCAGAACTTCAGGGTTTTGAGTTTTCGCTTCAATCAGTAGGCTATCCGCCGCCCTGAGTTATAACGATTATTAAATAAAACATATCGCTAATTTCAGGTTCGGAGATATAACTGAGATTGGCTAGAAGTTAAAAACTCCATAGTTTTTAATGTATTTGGAGATGAAACAGATCATCAAAAGGCCGCAACTAAAATCAACTAAATCATGCATGCAGAATAAAATGTGTTCGATGAAACATACTGAACTAATAAACTAGCAGTATGTATCATTGGCTAAGACATTATCTCTAAGCAACTGTTTAACTTCGACGTCATATAACGACTGCTTGAAGCACAGCGGAAACAACGGCGGCATAAGAAAGCAGTCTTACAACCCTTATTGTAAAACTTACTTTAAAATGTTTGAATATTTTAAAACTCAGAAAGCGTCGAAAAAGAGACAGGTATAATTTCGACAGGCTATTAAAGTTTCGGTGCTCGAAGCAATACAATTCATTAATTTTGTCAAAAAGAACCACCCACGGTGGCACAGCATGTTAACTATGCCACCAGTTTGAACTTGAACCACTTCAAGTTAACACAGTGCTTGATCTGTATCATTGTTGTTGTATACTCATTACCTCGTAACACTCATAATGCAGATTAAACTTGTAAACATGATTGATGCACATATGTCACAGAAATACCAGGGATGCAGATATGTCTTGGAAACACCAGGGATGCAGATATATCTTGGAAACACCAGGGATGTAGATATATCTTGGAAACACCGGGGATGCAGATATATCTTGAAAATACCAGGGATGCAGATATATCTTGGAAACACCAGGAATGCAGATATATCTTGGAAATACCAGGGATGCAGATATATCTTGGAAACACTAGGGATGTAGATATATCTTGGAAATACCAGGGATGCAGATATATCTTGGAAACACTAGGGATGTAGATATATCTAGGAAACACCAGGGATGCAGATATATCTTGAAAATACCAGGGATGCAGTCCATGACATCAACACCGGTGTTACATCAGAAGCTTCACAACAGAACTATTGTGTAGAGCCCTGCGTTGCCATGTTGAAATGTCAGTCCAGGACCATGTATCGTACTGCTATCATGCAAGCTCGGAAAGTCAATGAAAAGTGGATTGTGGGTTCATTATGAAACAATGCATGACGTTCCATGACCCCTAGACGCGTTGCCTCGAAACATAAATGCCCAGCGATTATCCAGACTTGTGTTTGCTTTTAAAAGTACGGAAAAAAATAGAAACTAGAAACAAGCTAACCACTAAACATATAAAGGAGATGGAGGTATAAGAATAAGATATCAATAAACATTAACAACTAGACCTTACCATTCGTAAGATGGCAAAGAGGACCATACATATAAGGCCCATGGTGTTTGTTGTTCTGGCCTTATTCCATTATGTACCACTTGCTATTCGGTTACTTGCTGTTGTTAATGTTACTCGTATGTTTGTCACAACAGTATGTACATGTACTTCTCAACACTTGGTATTTGTCACTTTTAGTTTGAAAACGGTGTACAAACCTACACCTTCAATAAACATGAAGTTGCTATCGTATGCTTTATCATTGAGATATTATGGGTCTACCAATATCAGAAATATCAATAGCATGAAACTGTTTTCAGACACGGTCACCCGAGTTGAATAACCCAGTGACACCACGTCAGCCAAGCCCCACAAACGCTGACATTGAGCAAAAATAGGACATAGTCCGGGTAAGAGGTTGTATGGTTCTCTATGACATGGATTCTGTATTTTGTTTTTAAAAGAAAGCTGATGTGCTGGCATCCTTCTGCAAGTGGGGCTTGAGAGTTAACTTCAACAAAACTGAAATCCTTGTATTCCGTAATGGCGGTAAGCCACTAAATATTGAAAAGTGGAAGTATATTGATATTAATCTTAAAACTGCAACCTACTATAGTTATTTGGGAAATATATTTTCAAATAGATTATCATGGCCGAAGTCAATATACACGTTAATACAGAAAATTGGTAGCAATTTGAGTATTTGTACATTTTGTCATAATAACATCATCTACTTCTCAACACTTGATTTTTGTCACTTCTAGCTTGAAAACGGTGTACGAACTTACACCTTCAATAAACAAGAAGTTATTATCCATAAAGTCGTATGCTTTAGCCTTGGGATATTGTTAGTGTGCCTATATCAGAAATATTAATAACATGAAACTGTTTTCAGACACGGTCACCCGAGTTGTATAACCCAGTTGCACCGCGTCAGCCAAGCCCCACAAACGCTGACACTGAACTAAAAACAGGACATAGTCCGGGTCAGAGGTTGTATCTTCTCTATGACATGGAATGTACATCGTTTATTCAGGAAACATTCTGATAGAGATTTTATCTGAAAATGTTTTTACACTTCAGTCACTAATTCAAAAATATTTATCAAAATCTGAGGGTAGATTCTATTGTCTGTTTGTGGACTTTCACAAAGTCTTTGGTTCCATCAACAAAGATTTTCTGTGGCATGGCTTGAATTGACGGTGGGGCAGGATACGTTCACGTTTTCGCGAACATCTGGTATCATCACTGTTTCATAGTGATTCATAAACACAAGCTCTCTCATCGCATGAAGACAATAACTGGATTGTCTGGTTCAGACCCGAATTGTTTGCAAACAACATCATACAGCTGTAACATTGCTGAAACAAATATCTGCTCACGATATGGTCACAATTGTACAATCGACTCTGCTTTTGGCAAAGATTTCTTATGAATGTGGTCAGGGTTTTGTCGCTTCTATTTATGAAAAGAAATAATCCATGGTATTCATGGTATCTACTAAAAACTACAGCAGCTGTGAAGTTATCAGAATATTTTGATTGAGTGGGGTCAGACAACGTTTTCTTTTCAGTCATCTTTTGTTCTCTCTATATATCAATCAACTTGAATATGAATTAAAACTACCTGATGGTAGGGGTGTTTTTTTA